CGGGAGGAGGAGGAGAAGAAGAAACTGGCAGCACAGATCAAACATGAACAGGAGCTGATGATGAAGCCCATGCCGTGTATGACGGAGGGGTGCGCCCTGTACGGCACTGCTGCTACTAACTATCTTTGCACGTCCTGCTTCGAGAGGCAGAAGCACAGCATGGCCGTGGACTATGCATCGTGGAAGGTTAACGGGGCCAAGGGGCACGTGGTGTCGGCGGGTTACGCCACCCTTCCCACTCCCGGGAAACACAACACACAGTCGTACCGCAGCACCTACACCATACAGGAGGACGGCGTCGTGCCCAGTAGGAAGTCTCCGCCCTCCCTCCCGCCCCCCCAGCTCCCAGCGCGGGCCAGTCCCAGCCTCGCGAGAGGCGGCGGCGGCCAGCGGATAAGTTATCCATCGGCGGTCAACTCCAAGTACATCCCACAGGAGGACGTGCCGCACCGAAGCGCCACGTATCCCAACTGTTCTGACCCGCCCTCCTCCCACTCCAGCCCCTCCCACCTACCCAACTACCACCCCCCTCCCCCTTACCGTGCACCCAACGGTCCGTACAACAGTCAGCACAACTACTACACCTTACCAGGAAGGCCAAGCAGACAGACTACCACCTCACCGCACAGGTGGACAGAAATCACCGCATGTCCCCGGAGAACTCCTACAGTGACGACGAAGTCGCGGGGAGTTGGTTAAGAACGAAAACGCGGTCGCCCGTACGCTCCACGAGACTGCCTCCGGAGAGGGAAAAGATCCCGTGTCGGATGAAGTGCGGGTACGTTGGGCTAGAGGAACTGGATTTCTACTGTAGCACTTGTTACAAAGACAGAGGTCGCAAACTTACAAATGTCTATAGTCCGCATAAGTGAGCAGCTGGAGAATTAACCTGTCAATCATGTCAGACAGCCAATCAAGAAGCACGGTGGAGGACCAGCGGGAAGGCCCACCTGTACACCACAACTGTCAAGGAACCACAGAATTGTGTTAATTAGAATGGCGAGGACTGAGTAGGTGAAATGCCTTAATTGATTGATTTCATTGAATGATTTCAAAGGAAGCAGTCGCATGTTGAATCAAAGATACCCGATTGGTCTAGAATAGCTGTCAGTCAAGAAGAGGGGAACATCTCCGCAGATTTTGAGTGTCTCATTGACGAGAGAAGTGCATGTCTAGACCAAGACGCACTGTGTGCTGAGAGCATTGTACCATAATCCATGAAGGTGTGTTGTGTGATATAATCATATTTGTTGACGTGCAAGTTGTCTGGTTACAAATGTAGGTGTGATGTATGTTGTCAACAGTATATAACATTGTACAGTTAAACCCAAGACTTCTGTGTGCAATGAGGCTACATGGGTATCTATTGTACATAGCTTTTTTTGTCCAGATATGCATATCTTGAAGCAAACGTGTTTATCGCAAGACTTACAAACTGCATGTACACATGAATAGAGAGAATTTCCGTAGATAAAAATATAGAGGGTGCAAGAGCAATAGATGATTGTATTCTGTATGTATGCAATAAATAATGGATTATATAATTATAAAAGAATTATTACTACTAGTCCAATTTATTTTGTTACCTTGAAGAGGCAAACAATTTGAACAATGCTTTGTGCAAAATATGAGTAGAAAAAGATGGTTGAAAGTATACAACTTATTTTTGGCTGCTTGGAGCTCTCTTGTCAATACTAGTATAAGAGCAGTTATACAGTTTAGTTACTGTAAAAACCACTGGGGCAAATTACTTATGATACAATGTACTGCTGTGAAGTAACACTGTTAGATATTACAAACTATCTAGCATATCAAATATCTTTTTTTTTAATGACAATTAATAGGTAAGTTGGTTTTGACCGGCCCATGAAGAACACTTCTATTTAGTCAAATCTAGTCAATCAAAGTCTAGCATTCTCTTTGTAAAAGTCATTGAATGGGTATCGAAACAGCAGGTTAGATTAATTAGTCACATTTCATTGAACGTTATGTCCGACTGTGTTAATTTTGGATACATCATTTACTGGTGCTTCATTCAATAATGTGCATTATGTTATTTCATGTAAGTTTGTGCTGTGCATGTTGTAAGAACAAGTGTAGCCTGACTTGTACTAGGGTATAGTAGTACATATATTCCTCAGGTGGTATGTGTATGTGTAGCATCGAATACCAATAACTTGCCATGTAGATAATGTGTTATGTTTTTTTTGTTCTTTGTCTGTTAGGCCATACCAATTTAGTTAGTTGGGTCTCGGATTCGCCCGCTTCGTCTTTTCTAATTTGCCAACAACAACAACAAAAAAAAAAGATTCAGGTTCTGAATTAACTTGTCTTCCTCGTTATAATAATGCACTGATTTGATAAAAAGTTTAAAATTCATTGTTTTGAATCATATAAACCAACCTGGTATGTTGACATCATGGCTCCTATTGCAGCTTTCATTTGGAGTTAGTTATCAGAGGATGCCTAGCTAAGTCTGTTGTGTTCTTTTTGCCCTGTAGCTTAATATTTTTTTTTTTTCAGAAGATATCCGAGAACCAAATAAAATTGGTGTGGCCTTACTGTACCAATGCAATCTGATGAGATCAGTGACCAACCCTATTACTGTATGAGTAGGTTTATTGGACGCTACAAACCTAGCTATGTAGGTAACACAGAAGAGGGCTAGCTAGTAACGTTACTTGTATTTTGGACACAAGTGTGTTTTTTGCAAGCTCAAAACGAATGCGTAATTTTCATCAACCAAAGGTGTTTTACTTTGGGTTAGCATGAATTCCTTTGAAGGAAAAGTGAAATTGCCTACTTCTTCTTTATCAGATAGGTTATGAAAAGAAAATTTATCATATAGCAGGCAGATATCTCAGCCGTTATGTACTTGTTACATAATGCTTCAGATGTGATTGTGAGTGCATGTTATAGAGATTTGATAGATATGACAGACAATCATTCCCTAAAACTGCTTCATGTTGTTGAACAGTTACGATGACCACAAAAAATATTGATTTACATTCTTCTCTGACATCACAGATAGAAATTGAACTTAAAGAGCAACTTGAAAGCGGAGACCTAAGAAGTAATGTCTATGCATATTATACTAGCAGCGAAATGTACTGCAACTGTGCAAGCTTTACTGACATTTTAGGAACATTTTATAGGAACTGCATACCATATGACAATACCGTCTGTTGACATTTAAACTTTTTGCTCATTTTCTGGAACTTGTATGTGAGAACATGTTGATACTAATATTCAATTTACAAGTTTCCATGTAACAAGTCCTTTTTCTAGATAGAAGAAATTGAATGCATCTGTCAGAATCAGGTTCAGATACCATTGCTAGCAGGTTGGAATCCTTTGCTGTAGCAGGGAGTTAACAAAGAGGGTATGAATTCTGAGGAATTCTGACTTTTTTTCTTACATGTGTAGCTAGATGGACTTTTGTATTATTTCCCCCCATCTCCACACGTGTGCATAATTTTGGTATGACTTTGTATATTTCTTTTTCTGTTGAGGCAACATTGTTTTGAACAGCTGCAAAATTAGTGTAAACTGACGCTTGTGTACAGTTATGTCAAGATCTGTAACATGGACTGACATGTTCTGAATGTGGCCAGTATTATTGCCACTATTTTCTGCATTGAACAATGCTTGATTCAAAACTGTGAAAAGTGAAGAGTAGCTGCATTGGATAAGGAGATGTTGACAACTTTCATCATTAACTTTGATGCGTTAGATAAATGTAGACTATACTGATGTGATGTCCAGTCATTCTCATCAGCATTTGCTTTGTAAGTGTTTAAAGAGGTTACAACTTGGTACCCAAACACAACAGAAACAGTTTTGTACTGGTTCAGTTACTATCACCAATAAAGAAAATATGTAGTAAGATGCTTCTTGTCATTTCCTATCAGTGATGATTTGATTACAGATGACATCCTCACAGGCATGAGTTAAAAAAAAAAGAAGTTTTGGACGATACAAACGTACAAAACAGCTACAAAATGAACAAATATACGCAGGAAATTGAAAAGAAATACTGGAAAGCGATACTAATGTCGTTGAATGCCAAAATCAATTCCAAAGGAAGAGATGAAAATGCGAAGAAATGCTACTCTATGTTTACTAGTCACTAGTCATTTGTTCAACCTTCATGACCACGTAAGGATTTCAAAGTGAAGGCAACTTTTTTGCGAAACTTTTTTTATTCACGTGCATCAGTTTTGGGGTTCCATTTCCAGAGGATGTCCATATAATCAAATCAGCATGGCCTATGTATGGAGTATCTGGAAGAGCCCTTACTAGGTTATATATGTTACATGTCCCATGGACAGTAACGTTAACTGCTACATTGTAACAGCAATCATTTGTTCAGGGTGCTTTTGGAAGGCAGTAAAGTTAGTCACTTCATACTGTGACAGGCTAGAATGTTTTTGAGCGTAGAGAAGCGCACACCGTGTACGACGTAAACGTTAAGGTTAACGTTAAAGTCCATCAAGATCTGCAGTACATTCTGTACTAGGAAGTGATAAGCATGAAACGTATGCAGTATTCATCACTTCCGCGTAGTGGCGCTGTGAGCTCATACCGGATGTTTACACATCCCACACTGCCTTGTAGTACCGGAAGTGGCTGTTTGAACCGAAGCCCCGCCAAAAAGGAGGTCCGTCGCAAAACACACAGGAGCCCAGGCTGGGCAAACCCGAATCCAGATACTTTGGAGCTACTGAGTCGTGATACCTGCCCCTTTTCACGGGATTCTAGGACGTTTCTTGCATTTTAGCTGAGGCTGATCAGCCGGGAAGCAAGCATGGAGGACGGGGACGACGTGGACGCCAAGAGGGCTTCGTTCTCCCGTGAGTTGGTTGTGTTTTTCCTCGCCCGTTCCCCTCCTTTCTGTGGGTGTATTGAGTGTGTGCAAGCACCGTAAGCCTGACCGGACTTGCAAGCACCGCCGTGCCAGGACCTTACACATGGGTTTGGGCGCGGTGCACTTGAGATTCAACAGCTTCGATTGAGCTACCTTATGGAACCATAACACCTTATCTTATTAACTGGAGCATTTCTAGAATTCTCACTAGTCAGGAAAAGTTAGCTTGCGTGGTCCCAAATTCTCTCGGTAGAAGTGTCAGGGACGAACCGATGTCGTCATGTCTGCGAAGAACCAGTTTTTTATTGACCAACCCGCAGGGGTCCTGAGTGTGTGTGTGTTCCCACGTCCACGGAGAAACGGACCACTTCAAACACACAAGTACAGAGCTAGCAGTGGAATCAAAGACACAGTCGTTATATACGTTACAGTAAACGTTAAATATCCTGTCTTCACACTTCCTTGTTAGAAATTATCAGACTCCGGTTCCACTATGGCTGCCCTTAATTCTTACCACGACCGTTAAGAAAACATGACCTGTCTTGAGTCCGGCTGTAACGTTATACTTATAGGTTAGCCAAGACAATACTCATTTTTCACCCAGGCCCGTGCGGTAGACATGGGTGTCTCAGTGGTGTCCGCTTGCCGACAGGATGTCGTTGTGTGGACAGTTTTCCGTAAACGTCCTGGAATCCTACAATGTTGGCATAGATGAGCAGTGATAACATCTTTGTACCAGACTCTTCTGTTTTGCCCCTCCCACGCAAATCATGATGACACATCTCACACCATGTTGTTTACCAAATTGATTAGGACAACAGAAAGAGGGGCTGGAAGCTTCACACCTCACTAATGAAGCATCATGCCCATCCCATTATCCCATTCACTTCAGATCACTAATAAGTATTCATATTCAAATACTGTTATAATGTCTCTTATTCACTGCACCCAGTGAGTGTGTATTAAGACTGTGTATTGGGCGGAAATAAAAGAAAGATACAATGTTAACCAGGAAAAAAGATGGGGTGGGGTGGGTAAGGGGTCTTAATACAAACCATTTAGATAAAAATGTCATTAGAGGTATTGTAACATTCCCCATTGCTCCCATCTTGTTGACAAGACAATCCTGTATCATTATAAGGCAAAATTTCTTTTTTCATAGATAAGCAGAATGCAGTAATTATAGTAATTTCATTAAATTAATCTTGACAATTTTAGAACCATTCTCCAACACACAGTGCCATCAAAAAGAGGCTCATTTTCTTATCAAAACATTCGGAAAAGACTTACTCCCAAATGCCTTTAAACCAACCAACGTTTGTTCTCGGGGTTAACACAAACATAAAAGAAAAAGGAAAACAATTCCTTTGTCATGAATATTTATTTAATCTGTCGCACACACAAAAACAACATGTAAGCCATACATGGCATAGCTCCCACCGATTGTAACCACAAGAATGTTCTGAAGTAGGTAAACCCACATCAAGCCTAAGCCTGAATATTGATTTTTAAAATGTCGGGGTTATTTGAATATCAGGAGATAGGCTTCAGTGACTGCCAGCCTAGGCATGTAGCACTTCAATGTAATAAAAACAGCAATAACTAAGGATATTTTAGTTGGAGTGAAGTTCAAATTTACATGTACCAGGTAATATCACACAGTGGTAAATATTACATTTGGCGTAAAGTACATCCTTCATACTGCTGGGCAAGAATGGTGAGGTTTCATAAGACTCTGAAGGGCGTTTCAGGAGCTTGAATGACTGATGTTGTCCTTGGAGTTCTGCAGAAATCCCTCCAATTTCTGGAAAGAGGCATCGTTAATCACAAACAGGAGGAAAACCAACACTCATATCCCCTCCCGTGTATATATTTATCTTTATATCATACCCGGGCCGCGATAACGTTCGATAACGGGTTCCGGACCCGTTATCGAACGCTTCCATGGCTTCCATAAAACGATTCGAACGCATTTTGCCCTAACCGCGTGTGCCCCTTTCGAAAATTCGAATACAGAATCCGGATATTGGAATTGATGTTGTCGCATTTTACGGTTTAGTGGCACCAATTTTTGGCTCATGTTGCATTGAAAGGCGTGTTTTCTTGGGTGGGTATGACATAAATAAAATACAACACGGTGTATTCCGCATCGCCCTCGGTCCCGGCCCTCCCGAGATCCGACCCGTGGTCGGGCCGATACCTCAGGTGATACGGGATACCCTGTGTTGTATTCTCTCTCTTTATATATATATATGAATATGATATATAACTTTTAATACTGTATTATCAGGGTTCTCATCAGAATGTTTTGTATCGTCAGGTACACAAGGAAAACTTTCCACAGCACAGCCACACATTGAGTCTCAAAATCATGACCACAGACTTGACTGAACTCATTTACATTTACTCTCAGAGACACTTTTTCCCCCTGTTTGAGGGACAGATTTTGTAAATTTATATTTTCCCTGTTATAGCTTCGTCCTAAAGTGAAATTTTCATCTTTCAAAGATTTATTAGGAGTCAAAAGAAAAGAAACAACCTTACGCTGGTTGAAAGACAGTCTAGGGGGCTAAATGACAGTAAAGAGGCCCCTGCTCTCAAATAGCCTAGTGATAACTACTAAGTACCTAATAGTAATACCAGCCCAGAAGAGAACTAGAAATAGCCATGCCTTCAAGTACCAGAGTTATCAACCAAGGATTGAGGCGTTCAAGAATTCATTCTTTCCTAGGACTATCGCAGAGTGGAACTCACTGTCACCAAATACAGTACTAGTAGGGGCATTGTCATTAGATAGCTTTAAGCAAAGTCTAGAGCTAGAAGTTCAAGGGTTAGGTGTAACAAGTCGATCGGTGTAATATAGCCAGCCGCCGCCGTGCCGCGTGCCTGTGAAGCTGGTGTGTTACGCCGAAAGGCAGTTATACCGGCTATACAGATACAGAAACAGATAACTATGATGATTGTATTTTTATCACAGATGTGGGGATGACAGAAGAACGACAATCGGCAGAAGAGATGGATGAAAAGCGACAGCAGGCCATGGCATACGAGTACCTCTGTCATCTACAGGAGGCCAAACAGTAAGTACTGAAACATGTAGGTGTGAGTAGTGCAGGCTACCCTGGCTCCTGGGACACTGGGGATTGAACCCATGCCGAACCCCGGGCAGCTAGCTCACGAATGCAACAAACTAACCACTAGGCCAAAAGGTCTGGACCCGTTGGACGTGACAGTTGATGATGCTTGAACCACAGTGTTACACTGCTTAGGTGCTACCAGTACCACTAACACGAACAGTCTGCTGCCTTCAAGACTCGACCATGCTTCAGGCTTTTTGCTAGTACCTTTTTGCAGCAAGTAGGGAGATGAATTGAATGGCTAAAAAAAGTGGGATTTCTTTAGTACCTGCAAACATCTTTCAGGGTGATAATAGATTTATGGATGTCCATAAAGGTTGGAAATCGATGCCTGACTAGTTGTCACTGTCATGGAGACATCGTCACTCCCAGTGATAAGAATCAAAATCCTGGTGGGCGTTATTTTATTTGGAAACAAATACGTCTGCTTGTGTAATAACCTACCTCTTGCTTACAAAGTTCAGCTCATTTAACTTTCCTAGACTGAACTTTGCCCCTTTCAAAAGACTCAACCAAGTATGAAAAGATCAAGCATCATGCGACAAAGCAGCCATAACATGTTGATATCTTGAGTCTTTACAGTATTACAATTATAAAAGGCAAGTGATGCTTTTGCAGGGTTCGAAATACAAAGGTGCAATGTGCAAATTGCACGTAATTTTCAAGATTTGCACCTAAAAATATTTTGAATGTGCAATTTTGCACCTGGACAATACCGATATATCATGTTTGCACTGCGTATCTCCGAAGTTTCTTGTGTGTCGGCATCGCGCTGGGCGCATGGCAGCCATATTGTTTTTTTTACTGAACATCCTGGGAACAAGCTGCTCTCGTCCCCAGGTGAAGACGCGAAGGCATTACGTAATGATTTACCTAATATGGCAAGACGCGAAGGCCTACGTAGCTGATTTACCAAATATGGTGAGACCCGCGAAACTTGTTGCCCGATGTGGTACGAAGTCCTTCGGCAGAGTAATTTCGGCTTTTTCGTCCAATTTTCGGTAAAATTCGGTGAAAAACAGTTTTCGGATTTCCCAGCATTCAGTGCTACCCAGGAAATTTGTAAAGCATGAAGAAGGGCCTATGAAGAAGGGGTCGATTTTCAAGTTCTTTTCACGGGCCCAGCCGGCATCAGAGGCTGGTACAGCCGGTGGCGGTGGACCAGAGGCTGGTGCAGCCGGGGGCGGTGGATCGGGAGATGCCACCGGGTCCACCGTCTCCGAGGATCCCGCGGCCGATGTTGACGACGCGCCCCCAGAGGAGGGGGAGGGGAGCGCCAAGAAGCAAAAATTAACCGGACGTTATTTTTTTCTAAGCAGTATTTTTTTCCTTATATCGTGCGCGATATTCAAGGTAAACAAATATGCAAAATAAATGAAATTTATTGCTCGCATACTGTTGGTAAATTTTTTTTATGACGAGTGAGAGGGCCGGGGGTCACTAGCGGCGTCCTTTGAAGCTAATGCCGACAAATTTTTTTTGTGTTCTTTTTTTTTATAAACACAGATGATACTTGCATTGTTCATGTTTCGTTTGGTCCCTTCTTTTTAATGTATACTAAAACTTCTATATGCAGTGGCAGGCTAAGAAGGTTGATACACAGTAAAACAGTTCCAAACCTAAAGATGCAAGGCTAAATATAATTTTGCACATAAATTTTTTAAATTGCACCTAAAAATTTTGCCAATGTGCAATTTTGCACGTACCTGAAAAAAAGTATTTCGAACCCTGTTTTGATAGTTCATTAGATTTGGGAGATTAACATTGCTTGAAATGTTAATTGAATTAGACCATGTTACAGTATATAGATTGAACTGTTCAGTGGAAGTGAATGATAGAATGTCCCCACCTACCTAGTAACTGTGTAGTAGCCTCAGTCAATTTGCCAGCAACCAATTTAGGGAGGTTGATTTGCTGAGACCCCTCTACTCCTAAATCATGTCCCGGCACACTGTGGCAGTACTCGACCCACTCCAATTAGTTTAATAGGCAGGAGCCATTTTCTGTATTTTTCTTAAATTGCAGGGGAGGGCGGGGCCGCGGTTTTATTTGTAAAGCTCCCTCGGGTACTAGTCTTTTGGATGAGTGTTGATGGAATTCCTTTTTTCACTGGTTTTTAAATTTAGGGATTTTTTTTTTTGCTGTTAATAGGCCAAAAAATATTCTTTTTGTGGAATACTCTATCCTTATCTTGACGATGTGAAAGACTACTGTAAAATGCTGTTTATATGAAATAGCCATAAACAGGTAGTAACTGGAATTGATGACACATTTACAGTGTTCTATTACAGTGGTAAAATAGTTGATGTCTGTATGACAGAGAGAAAGTTCCCATGAACATTTTCCTGGATGTAATTTTCATGCCTGTCTGCTCAGAATTGAAGTAATAATACTAATATTGCTATAGAGAAAAAGCTTGAGACCATTAGAATCACTTTGTTTTGATGTTGAACAACAGAATCATAATTGCTTTATGAAAATGGGATTTTTATTGAATAGCTGCTTTGAATGCAACTGTTGTCCTTCTTTACTCAGACATATGGTATACCCTTAACAAATTGATTTAGACGTAAGGCCACACCAAGTAAATTTTATGGATGACATCCGCGCCCGCGCAAAATTGATTTTGACCTGTTCATAGAAAAAAAACAAGAAATTCCGCTTCCTGTAACTATGACCAAAGAGTCACGACAGTGCCGCAAATTGTCAGATTGACGTGAAACCTTTAACGCGAAAACAGGACAGACGTCAGATTGACGTGAAACCTGTAACGCGAAAACAGGACAGGACGACAACTGCTGTTCCACCTGATTTATTGCTGTTTTGATGATGAATAAAAGACTTATTGCTTGTTACACTGTGTCACCTCATTCAATTTGTGTCCTAACACTTGTCGTCTCAGTAGTTTTCTGATCTAGGCCTCTTGTTTTTTTAGGGCCCTTCTTGTTTTTTTTCGCCCTCTCGCATTAGATTTAGTGTCTCCAAAGGACGTCATCCATAAAATTTACTTGGTGTGGCCTAATGAGAAATTTATCATAAAACTATACGATCTATGGCTTATTCTTGAGACTACAGATAAGAAATATACCAATTAGAGACACTTGAAATCAGTTTTCCAAACAAGAAGAAATTGCATGTACGAATAGTTGCTTGTTTTGCGACCTAACAATCTATTGAAATATTACACCTCTTTGCAAGGTATTTATTTAGTTAATGGGCTCTCCCTCCTTGATTATGAGTCAAGTTCACCTGTAACTGTCCTGTCAGTGATTTCCCTAAAGATCCAATATTCCTGATGTCCTCCTAGGCAGATAAGAGTAGGGCCACACCAACTTAATTCTATGGATGACATCCTCTGAAGACCCCCAAACTAGTGCGCGCGGGCGAAAAAAAAGAAAAATCCGGCCAAAAATAGAAATGATACTAAACCATAGGAATATAAAGCTGGTAGTGTGAATTTGGCGTATTACACATATAGCGACGTATACGACAGGCCGTCACATGCTGGCTTTTTGCGGAATTAATGAATCGGCACTGTACGTATGTACTGAGTTCTTGAGTCGTGGAGCTTCGGTAGCCTGAATGCCATCCTCCAGAGTTACCACCGGCTTTGTTGTCGCTAACTACCATGGACTACCCAGGCCTGAAGCCAGGCCAGAGCCTTGGAGGACGTGATTTTTGTTTTTTTGAGAACAGACGAAAATCAATGCGCGCGCGGATGTCATCCTAAAAAAGAAGATGGTGTGGCCTAGAGAAGACATGACTGGGACAGCAGCCAGCAATTTTCCTCCCTAGGTACATACAGGATTAGGAGTGATACAGCATTCTCTATATTATATATATTATATGTATATGTCTTGACATTTAGTTTAAAGGCAACCAATGTAATTTCAATGATGATCATGAATAAGGCAATCTGTATGATGTTGACACATATTGCCTGATATTGCACATTTGGGTCATTATTTCATACTTCGGGCATTCAAAACAGAAACAAGCCTCGAGACGAGTCCTTTATTTTCTGGGTGGTACCCCAAAAATCATCCCAGGATCCCTGAACTGTTTTTAGTCACAGTTTTCCTCATTTTTGATGAATGTTTATATGGGACAGTGTGTAATTGTTGTAACTTTGTTTGTAGATAAGTGACTAGAATATATTGACTTTGAAAAATCTTGTTTTCAAGCCCTAAAACTGCATTTTACACCTTCACATAAATTTGTGAAAGTGCCTGTGCCTTGACTTGTTGTTTATCTCAGTGTACTGTTAATAGTGTCTGACTCAGGGGAGTATTTTTGACCCCAGGGGAAGTGTTCTGTGTGCACTTTACTTTCCCTAGTATCCTGTTTCATGGAACAAGACCAGTAGTCAGTCAATGTCATGTGAATGTGAGGCTCTATTGTGACTCATGTTTGGGTAGGGGTGGAGGGTTGCAGGTATTTACATGTGGTCAACTCAACTGGGGGAAGTCCTGCTCACGACACAAGGCCTTTCTAACTCTCACAGACCCAAACCTTTCCAGATAGAGAGGCTAGGGCTCTAGCTATATATATATATACTATATAGCCAGCTCATTTTTTTTCCATCAGCCCAGGTTCATGATCAGGCCTGGGGGAGGGTGCTCACAATCTAGGGGGTCCTTGGGCAAATTCTGTATTTTCACAATTTCAGAGGCAAATCAGTGCTAGTCAGTACAGTACATCTTAGATCTAGTACTAAAATTTGAGTTCATCGGAATTTTTGAAAACTCCAAAACTTTGATACTAATACGCATTTTCAGTTTCTCTAGTTTATGCGATACACGCAAAAATTTTTCTATGCACCCACCTTTTTGGGAGGGGTGCCAAAAATGAATTTCCAGCCTTGCCATCAAGTTTAACTCCACTGAGGATTGTCCTGCCCACGAGACCATTCCAACTCCATCAGACCCAAACCTTTCCAGTCA